AGAGAAAGAGGAAGGGATTGAAGGAGGGTAGGAGAGAGAGAGAGAGAGAGAGAGAGACAGAGAGAGAGAGAGAGAGAGAGAGAGAGAGAGAGAGAGAGAGAGCATTTGGGGTGAATCTCATAGTCTAGCCCTGCTCATAGAAGTCTCCACCATTATTCCTCCTCTTCCTTACTCTTTTCTCAGTGCGACCATCTCCTCCCGGACCCCCGTTTCCCCCAATCTGCCCACCCTTCTTCCCCTCACTTTGCGCCATCCTTGCTCATGCATTCTGACCAGCTGTTGGAAGCGTGAGCAGGGCCCCATGTCAAACACAAGGTCTCTTTCCTTCCTGCTGCACATACTCTTAACAACACAGAGCATATTTCTTAGTGTAAAAGTGCCGTGATGGAATTCAATAATATCTAAAGTTTGGAATTCTGTGTAGTGCATTTTTGTTCAGCTAATGGGTGAAGGAATCTTTGAAAGCAAAGTCCAATCTCTGCCCTTGGTATTGCAAAGTCGGCATGTATTTAGATAGTCACCTGTCATTACTCTCCATTTTTTAATAGTATTTAACTCTTTCTTCTTGACTTGCCACTGTCTGAATCTTGCTCTCTCTACAGAAAGCCAGCAGACCTGCACAACCTAGCCCCTGGCACCCACCCGCCCTTCCTGACCTTCAACGGGGAGGTGAAGACGGATGTCAACAAGATCGAGGAGTTCCTGGAGGAGACTTTGACCCCTCAAAAGTAATGAGCTACTTATTTCATGAGATAACATCAGAGAGGGGTCCATGTTGGAACTAAAAAAAGCACAGTGTTAACTTTGAGGAGGCAGATCTCCAAAGGAACCTCATTGCTTCAGAGCGTAAGACCCTCTTTTCAAAGACAGAGCCCAGGACACCCCTCCCTACCCCCAGAGGGCTGTCAATCACAATACTGCCTCCCAAAGTCCAACTCCAATAGCAGGTACCTGTGTCATGTGAAGCAGATCGCTCCCTCCTAAACAGAGTGACTTTAGGAGCCCTGGGAAGGTCGCCACCTCTCCATGCCCCTGAAGAAGTCCTCTCTTTAGTTCATTTGGCCTGGAAGACACTCAAGTGAGGCCAAAGGTTCCCTCATTTCATAACAAGAGCTGTAAGGCTGATGAAACGGAAATAAACCAGGAGAAATGTAACCACGTGACTTAAAACCACGCCAAGGTGTGAATAAGAGTCATGAATCTGACCAGGGCTGACCTGAGCTCATAATTAAACAAGAAAAAACTCACTGAAAACAGCTCCTCTTTTGAAAATGAGCACAGGGAGCGGACAGACCAGGGAGGGCTATAGTTTCCTGTCAAGTAAATAAGCTGCTCCCGATGGGAAATACGAGTCAAGAGAAAGCAGATGAGTTCTAAAAGTAGCTGGAAACTAGACTTGTTCATTTTACTGAATTGTTGAACTTGTGGATTAACACAATCACAAAAGTTGTTTTAAAAACTAAAAAAAATAATATCGCATACAGCGTAAGGCATGAACAGACTTTACCCTGGAGGGTAGCTATAGAAGAGTTCTAAGCAAAAGTACTGGAGAGTCCGTTTCCAGCCTTAGTTCCGGGGGAGGGGGGGGGGAAGATGAGCAAGGCTGAGGATGGAAGAGCTGGAGGTGGAGAAATGGGAAGGAGCCGAACAGACTTTACCCTGGAGGGTAGCTATAGAAGAGTTCTAAGCGAAAGTAGTGGAGAGTCCGTTTCCAGCCTTAGTTCCCGGGGAGGGGGGGGGGAAGATGAGCAAGGCTGAGGATGGAAGAGCTGGAGGTGGAGAAATGGGAAGGAGCCAAACAGTGACAGTCCGAGCAAGACGGACTGGAGAGCAGAGCTAACGCAGTGACGGGGAAATGGGAGGGATTCGGGACAGTAGGTAAAATAAGTGGAACTTGGCTACTTGCATTTACTTTAAAGTTTTCTGTATTTATAAACACTTATATTGCCCTCACTTCGTGTGCCCCCCAGGAGAGAGGAGGCTATCCTCATTTTATAGTTGGGAAAACTGAGGCACAGAGCGGTTGAGTAACTTGCCTAAGATCACATAGCTAGCAAATCACTGTTAGATGAAAACTCCCAGTCCTGCTGTTGATTAAGACTTCAACATGTATATATTCTTCCTAAAAAGCATTTGTTGTCACCCACGTTAGGGCAAGTCGTTTTCACATTAATTGTGGGAAGCTGCCTCAAGTTCATCGGAAGCAGCTGAGTATAGACTTTAAATAAGTGCATTAAATAAATCAGCTGGACCGCATCCCCCAAAACACCCAGTTCAACCACACACATCTCTGAACAGGACACCAGCCATGTTGCCGAAAGGGCCCCGAGGGGGCTCAGGCTCCATCCCTTTCCCTTGGGACTTGGCCTCATTGTCAGCACTGCTTTTCTTAAGGAGGGAATGGAACACTGAAGCAGTGAGGAGCACAGTGTCCCATTTGGTCCTTTGCCAGGCCGGTGAATGGAGGCGTGCAGAGACTGGGCTGAGCCTGGAGGCCTGGGGTCCACTCCTAGTCCTGCCAGTGATGTATTGTGACTCCTAAACCAGTCCCTTCTCTGCTCTGGGCCTCAGTTAACCTCCTCAGTGAAAAGATGAGCTCAGAGCCGTTTCTGCTCTTGGACTCTTCACGCCCACCTTAGCCAGGCTCCTTTTCCCAGCTGTTTCTCTAACTCAGGGGTCTCCAGTCTTCGTCCTAAATGGGAAGGGGATCCATGAGCCCCTGAGAATTGTACACCCTAGACATGCAGGTACATTTTCCTAAAGGAGGGCCGTCATCAGATTCATCGTAATTTCCTCAGATTCTAAAGCTGCCATGATCCAAACAGAGCTGAGCAGTGTTAGGTGCAGATGCTCCCTTCTCTCCTCCCTGCCCACCCACGTTCCCTGCCCTGAGCTCTGCTTCCTCTGGTCTGGGTCCTTTTCTGGACTACAGTTGTGTGGAGGAAGTTGTACTAAGTGCACTCCTGTCACGTCACCCAGGAAGCAGAAAGTTGGAACTGCTAAAATGCGTAAATTCAGAAGGCCACCAAGATGGGGGCCCCAGTGATGAGACCACCCACCATTCCAGAGGCCCCAGCAGTGTCCCGTAGATGCCTTCATATGGGGCAGACTGGGGCAGGTGACATAATGACCTCCCGGCAAATGTCACAAAGCCAGTGCCTCAGTCCCACAAAGGGAGACTGTTCTTCCCATAACAAGCCACCAGCCTCTGCTGGCTTCCCACTGACTCAGGATAGAAGGTTGGGGGGCCTGAGTCCTGAGGTCCCTGCAGGAGCACAGCCTGACCTTCTGGTTTTCTAGGGGGCAGCAAAACCCCCATCACTAGTCACCAAGCGCTGGTCAGCCATGTGTTTCTCATCACACCACTGTTTGTAAAAGCTGCCAGAGAGCCAAGAAATTGTGGGAGCCTTTTTCCCCTTAGCTTTATTTTTTAAAGGAAAAAAAACCACATACAAACACTCCAACAATTTTCTTTAAAAATCACATTTGGGCCCACAAAGCATTTGGTGTCAAAAGGAGGAATCCAGGAAGTCTCAAGTAGTCTCTAAATGAGACTAACATCCACCCCTTCCCTTAGACTGACCCAGTTAGCGCTCAACAGGGAAGCGCTGGGATTAGGGTTGAGACATGCTGGCCCTTACCGTCTCCGTGGAATGGCCAGCGTTAATAGGATTCAGAACTGATAGTCAGAAGACCTAACTCTGGCCCCCTTTCTACAGCACTTGCAGTGTGATCTTGGGCTAGCCTTTCTCCCACTCAGACACCCCTCATTTCCTCATCTCTAACATGAGAGGGTGAAACTACATGGTTTCTAAGCTGCCTTTCAGCAGAAGTTCTGTAACTCCAATGAAGTTTTCAAAGTGCTTTTCCAGAGCTGGGTGTTATTTAAAATAATCCTAGTGGATAAATGCTGGGCTATCAATTCAGTGAGGAGTGGGTTTACTTACATGGCATATCATTTAATCAGTCAACTAGCAGTCAAGGACCCCAACCTAACCAAGAGGGAGAAGCTGGGAAAGGCAGAGAATCCCGTGGCTATTTGGTGAGCGTGAATGGTCTCTGCGGCAAATAGATTGCTTAAAACCTCTCTAACCTGTAATTCTCACCTCTATAAAATGAGGGCCATAATGCTGATCTCAAGGGATGATTGCAGAAGATAATACTACTTGGCCTCCTGCCTGACATAGAGTAAGAGCTCATTAAATGGCAACTTGAAGAGTTAGGAAAAGAGATCAGTGCCTCTTTTGTGCCTGCTCCCAGATGCAATCGTAAGGACAATTGGTGAGCTTAGGTCTTAAAACCACAGATCCCAATGGGTGTCTTTTAATGAATAAACCAGACCCCTTCCACCTCCAAGGATCATTTGCTTAAGTAGCAGAGACAGGACAAGGCAAGCACACAGTCAAGGATCAGAAGAGTGAGACGCAGTAAAGTGCTTCTCAGGGAAGCAGGAATAATGCAGAAAGGACAATGGGGAAGTCCTGCCACTTTTCAGCTCATTAGAAAAAGGAGGGTTAACACTCAAGTTGCCAGGAGAGCCCCTAGAATCAGCAAAGGTCACTCCATGAGGACAGGAGGTGTATCTTTTTTTCTCCAGTGTATCCCCTACTCCAGGGACTAGCCCCAGGCAGGTACTTGCTGCATGTTGATTTAATTGCATGGGGCCTTTTGTTCGGTGGCATGGTGATCTGCGGATCATCAGTGAAAAGTCAGTTGGGACTCTAAGCCAATCAGAGCACTTCCATCTGCAATCACATATATATCAACTATATATATTTGCTACTATATATAAAAAATTTTTTCTTGATGAGAAGGCAACTGTTTTACTCCCAAAAATAAAGCTTAGGTGCATGTCTAAGATGAATGCATTTGAAATAATAAGAGTGTAGAGAAATTTTCGTTAGTTACAGCAGAGATTGGCAAACTTTTCTTTAAAGAGTCAGATCGTAGGTTTGTCTTTGTGGGCCATATATTCTCTGTCACAACTCCACTTTTGTAGAGTGAAAGCAGCCATAGATAATATGTAAATGAATGGATATGGCTGTGTTCCAATAAAATTTTATTCATGAATACTGAAATTTAAATTTCATATTATTTTTACACATCAGAAGATAATATCCCTCTTTTGATTTTGTTTCAATCATTTAAAAGTATAAAAACTATTCTTAGTGCCTGGAAGGTACATAAACAGATGTCAGGCTGAATTTATCAATCTCAGGTCCTAGATTGATAACCTCTGAGTTAGAAAAATTCACCATTTCCTTGACTGTCCCCAGATCACATCACAATGTTATTTCAAAGATGTCTCTATGAATGAAACACCATTTGCTAGCCTTTTGGAGAAAGAGAATGTACTCTGTAGCCCACCTATTGCATATTTAAATATAATGTAAATATGGAGCTGAAATGAATGCACTTAACATCCTGTACAATCACCTTCCCAAATCCAGTTACCAAAATCTATGAGATTAATATTTGAAGACATGTTTCCCACAGGACAAACTTCAAATGGGACATTATGCTACACAGTAAAGTGCTTTGAAAATAGGATGGCACCACCTTGGTCTTCCCAAACACACAGTCCTTTGTCATCCATTTTGGATTTGGTACCACCCACTCATGTTTGGCCCACGGTGATCATCATGAAGAAATGGTCAGATTACTGGAAGTCTGATCAAATGATGGCATAGAGCAAAACAAATATAAACAAAAAAACTGCAACCAACCCAAATTAAAATGCATTTTCTAGGCTCTTCTCTCTTTGCCTTAGCAAAACCAAAGAACACTTGGTATATATTAATAATAATTTAAGGCAATCAGTTCTAAGAGCATGCCAGATTCTTTGTGAGGAGGCCAAACTAGAGAAGGATTATCCTGAATTCCCAGGTCTTGGAAGATTACCTATCATCTTGCAGGCAACTTTGCTTTGTGCCCCCAGTCAGGGCAGGTGAATTTGATCATTCACAGTACACTCAGGATGACATGTGTGCAGAACCTGTGCAGAGTGCCCACCACTGCTAGATGGAGAGAGTTCATCCATGGTGCTCAGCCAAACTCCAGAAAGAGTTTGGGAGCTTTGAGGGTAAAACAGCAGAGTCAGTGAGAGGCCACAGGATATGAAACTTAAGGACTGGGCTTCCAAAGTGAAACTGCCTGAGTTGGAATCCTGGCTCTGCTACCTAGCCATGTGACCTTAGGCAAATTGCTTAACTTCTCTATGCCTCATTTTCTCGTGTGGAAAATGAGGCTAATAACAGCACCAATAGAATTGCAAGGAGTAAATGATGAATACATGTAAAGGGGTTAGAAAAGTGCCTGGAACGCTCTTGAATGATAGGCATTCAATACCAGGTAGCCTTTGCTGATATCAGAGAAGTGATGTGATGGAGTGAGAAGAACACTGCTCCAGTGGCAGGAAAATGGGTTCTCATGGTCCCTCCACTATTTATTATTCGTGGGCCCTTAAGTAACCATTTAACCTCTCTGGTCTCCAGTTCCGTTCCCTGTAAAATGAAGATGATAATGTCTTCTGTACCTGCCTGATGGTAGAGGACTGGACCCAGTAACTTTCTGAAACATCTGAAATTAAACAGCAACCTAACATAGCTCGAGAGTGGAGAACCCTAGCTAATGGGCCAGTTGAGGAGCAAAAAGAAATGAGAGAATGACAAATAATTTTTAATGGCTTTTTGGCTCAAATTATTTAAAACATTAAGTAAGAAAAAGTGTATATTTTGCTTTTTAAACATAAAACAACCAAACAGCTCACAGTTGACAGCCATTCACCCCGAGATCATAAATGTTCACATAATTGATAATAATGATAACCAAGCAATGGTTCTCCATTTCTCCCCACCCCTGCCTGACCATACCCGTACAATGTTTATGAAATATTTTTTAAAAGATTAGAAACGCTCATTTTGATGGTGTTCATGGGGTCAAAACCATGGATTCCCACACAAGCAAATTTACCTCATTCAGTGTCAAAGACTATCATCTCAGTGATAAGCAGTCCTAACCCCAGTTTGCCTCTTCTATTCTTCTGGCTTCAGAATGAAAGAATGTGCAAGGGAGAGAGGCTAGGTCTGCACACAAATGAGGAGCGTGCAAAGGGTCTTTCAGAAGAGGACCATGGCTATCCTTCCTTCCGAGAAACGGTTCTGAGGCCTCGGTGCCAAGGTGCCTAGCATCTCCTTGCTCCAAGAATTAGCTCCGTGCAGCTAGGATATAACCACAGGCCTGGCAGTGCATAGTTATTGTATTTTAATGTGGGTTGGGGAACTGTCTGGGACCCCGACTGATACAGAGGCAAGCCTGCTCAGAATTTTGGCTAGGGCCTTTTCATTGGAGCATTATTGTTGATGGTCCCAGGAAGAGGACACATCCTGGGCCCTCTGAATTGTGTCCTGGTTCCCTGTCCACAGACTGGGTCCCCCAGGTAACTCTCCTCACCTCACTGGTCTCTGTTTTCCTCAATCAGTAAACCAGGGCTGAGAGCCCACCTTCTCTATAAGATGGGGCGTAAAAACCCAAAAAGAATTCTAGATCTAGCTAGAAATAGGAGTGCTGCTTGTGATGGGTACAGGCTCTCCTTTAAAGAAACCTCAAGCTCTCACAGATCTCATATGCGTCTTCTGTTCCAGGTACCCCAGGCTGGCTGCGAAACACCGGGAATCTAACACAGCAGGCATTGACATCTTCTCCAAGTTCTCCGCCTACATCAAAAACACGAAGCAGCAGAACAATGCTGGTGAGTGACTCCCTGCCTCCAAGAGCCCCTGGAAGTTCTGTCCCCTGTCCAGGGCATCTCAGATACGGAGGGCAGAGAGGCACCTGGAAGCAATGCTGCTTGTTATTCGCCCACCCCACAGCCCCCTTGACACAGGGGAGGGGGTTGCAGATTCTGCATTTTGGCTGTGCAGGAGAAAAGGCCAATGGGCCTTTGCACTGATTTGGGAGCGGGATGCAATGTGTGTTCTGAGGCTGCTTCAGTGCACAGCATACTGCCCTGCACAGAAGGGTCCCACTTGCACATACTACAGTCCATTTATCCCCAATTCTCAACCCTCTCTGTGTTCTCAGGAACTCTTGATTGAAACAACACATTCCAGGTTCCCTCTGGTCCCTGAAAGACTTCTCGGGGTCATGCAGGGGTCATAGTGACAGTGCAGTCACCAAGGTGATGAATGCTGAGGGCGGAGCCTGTCTTTCTGTGTTCTCCCTACGACATGTACAGAGGGTGCTGGGGAAGCCATTTCTCAAAGCCTGGCTCTCCTTCCATCTGGCTTTGGCTACAGAGCTCAGGACTTGGTTCTCTTGTGGCGCCCTCTCAGAGGGCTTTGAGTGCCTCATTTAAGCTCACAGCACTTTTAGTCCCACATGTGCATTGTCCTTTAAGAATTAGCTAAAGCAGTTTGAATAGAACCACCACACTGAGTATGTACAACACCTGAAGAACTGTTAGGCCCTAGTGAAGAAATGGAAGAAGAATGCGAAAGTTTGCTTGCTCTCTAAGTGGGAGAATGAGACAGCCTTACAGGGAGTCTGGAGCCTAGCACAGAGCCAAACAGATTGACACCTAATGAACCTTTGTGAGTGAATGAATAAATGAATGAATGACCAACAGATAAACATACAATGGACGAAAATAAGATGGTATATGCTAGATGCTCCAGGAGCCCAGAAAAGAAAGGCATCTCTTTAGCCCAGCGGTTCTCAACCTTCCTAATGCCGCGACCC